GACTCCAGTGAAGACCCACTAAGATGATGGACTGACATCTTTCCCATGGGGGGGAGGAGAGACTGGGAGTGTTGAGCCTGGAGAAGAGAACGCTCGGTGGAAGCTTATCAAGGTATATAAATACCTGAAAGAGTGGGTTATGTAGTGATGATGCAGGTGGCAATATGGGTGCTGTTGTGTCTCACAGTGCCCACTAGCATCTCATTCTTTTCTACCTTTCTATTTGTGTTCACTTGCTGTCTTATATTTTATACTGAAGTTGTATGTTTTGAGTGCAAGAAAATATTTTTATTCTGTTTTGGTAGCACAATAAATAAACAATAACTGAAAAGAATATAAACAGTAGTGATATTTATTGTGGGATAAATTAAATACTTTTATGAAATATAAGAGTTTTAGTTTTAAATATTTATGTATTAAGTTCTAAATGCTTATTGCATTTATGTAAAATAATATTATATGTACAAATTAATTTTTAAATACCAACTTTTAATATATTTTATATGGGTAATTATTTATTTCTGCAGAAATTATTTTCTATTAGAAGTGCCACCCTGTGCATAGGTCCAGGTCAGTAAAAGTGTTTGCTGTCTCTTCATGTGGGACTCCCAGAGAAGTCATGGAGTTGGGATTGGGCTTATTGCAAGAAAAAGGATAACTTTTTAGAGGTCTAAGAACATACTCAGTAGGAAATTGGAATCATTACTACTTCTGGTCTCAGCATGAGTGGTTGGGTTTGTTTATTTATTTTTGATTAACAGTTGCCATGTTTTCTGAATGTGGATATGTTACATGACAATCTGTAGCTGTATCCACTGCCATTATTTACTGGTTATTTAGGCAGATGCAGATCATGTTAGTCAGAACAAGAATTGAACATCACTGTTTTGCCAGCACTGGTACAAATCCTTGGGCAGTTTAAAGAATACCAACTGTAAGACCATAAAGTGAACGGTTTATCTCAATGTATTCACAGAAATAGTGTGGAAATATCCCTTGTCCTCATATAAACATTCTCCCCAGTTTCATTCATCAGCATCCCCTTTTCCCAGCATCTGTGGATGCAGTTTCAAGCTTAGTTTTTTTGAGCAGGTGAAATATTGCTTCCTGTGCAGGAATGGATGTGGCAGACTTCATATGCTTTGCAAGATATAAATGTTCTGATGTACAGCTGTTCTGGTAGAAATTGGTTTTTAAATTGGCTTTGACCATAGAAGGCAATATATACATGCCATTGGCTTGTTTCTTGGGTTCAGATCCTGCTGACAGCCAGCCAAATCACTCATACAACCTTACTACTAAACTGACTATGTTCAAAGCCATTTCAGCCTTTCTTGGTGCAGCAGGTGACATTGGTGAGCTGATTATATGAACCTGGTCCGTTCCAAGGTAACTCCAAACCTAGCTAGCAGGACATTGATTCTGAGGAATTAGCAGTCTTGGGCTTTGATGACTAATGGCAGCAAAGGGCAGTCTCAGAAGGAACTGAAGCCATGTACCAGTAGTAGTAGATACATGCAAATCAGTGTGTTGGAATCGCTCTCTCTTTTTTTTTTTTTTTTTTTTTTTTGGGGGG